AAACCGTTGGCTGTACAGACATTTTCAAAGTTGCCAGTGTTACTTTAATTGGGCTGCCCTCATAATTCATTGCCTCTGCTTCAACAATGTGCAATTCATCCTTGGCACCAGCCCCTAAACTGACCGTTCTTAAAGATAACCAGTGCTCATTCTCATCAGTCGGTTTTGACTCAACGGTACATAGCAACAACAAAACCATATGTTTACTTTTTAATATTTTAAACAAAACAGTCTCTCAGTAATGTTTCCTTACGCTGCTTCATAGTCTATGTTGTTGTTGTTCTTGTTAGGTACCTTGAAACTGACTATGACTCACAGTGCCCTAGGAATAAGAGATTAGAACTGTACCCTGCCCTGTGCCACCCTCAAGAACTCTGATCCGCTCAAAGAGACTGCCTCAGCCACTGCACCAATCCACTTCGCTCAAAGGGTTTTCCTCCTTTTGCAGATCTTTTACTTTTCCAAGCATGATGTCTTTTTTCGAGGACCGGTCCGTCCTGCCAACATGACCAAAGTATGTGCAACAAGGTTTCACCATTCTTGTCTCTAAGGAACACCATGGCTGCATCTCATATTCTATTTCATATTCTTTAGAAATAGGAGCTTTACTGGCATATAATACTCAATCAGATGGATCTATTAAGATTTATTTAATAATGTTTCTAATCTTGTAAAAACAGAAGATACAGGTATTTAAAACATAGGCATTGGAGTCAAGAGACCTAGGTTTAAATCACAACTTTGTGTTATCTTTTTAAGACATAATCTCAGCTCTAAAAAGGTAGTAAGACCACTTACCAGAGCTGACAGAATTATGTACAGCAGTTTCAGCACAGTCTCTGCACTCAAATAGAGAAGCATTATCATTGCTTTTTTGTTTCTATAACCATAAACTTTTCCTATATTATCAATATTACATCTTCCATAAAATGCAGCATTATATCAATGAGAAGAAATACTTATTGAACCATGACACAGTTCTAAGGTATTATTAACTAGAAGATTCATACCGATTTTAGCTGTTATAATGTGAAAGCGTGCAATCTGGAAAACTGAAAATAAAGGTACTCTGATTATCTTTTTTATTACTAATGATACTCTGGGTCACAAAACATTTTTAGTTTCTTGGTATACTGCTGACAGCAAAGTCTTAGGAAATGATGTGCCTATCAGCAAAATGAGCATGTACATATCATAAATTTTCAAGAGCATCACCTTTTCCCCCCCAAAAAAAGCACTGTATTTTGAAGAAAAAATATTATGTTAATTTGGATTGTAAAAGTGTATTTTAATTTTTCCACTCCTCAATTATAAGTGCTGTAAGGGTGAGGGATTCTTGCCGGTTTTGCCCTTGAATGTACCACAATCTCCTGATACTCAACAAATACTTGCTGAATTTGATCTATGATTGTTACAGGTGTTTAACATTTTTTATGTCTGAGAATGACTTATTTATGCTCACTAATTATTTGTAACACCCAGAATTACTAGTTATTTGTTGTACTAACCATTTGTTTTCTGGTAATTTTGTATTAGGATCATGCTTTTCAAATGGACTGATGCTGTTGTGTGCCCTTGAGTTGGAATGAACAGTAGACCCTAGCAGGTTTTCAGATGGTGTAGATCACTCAGGAGAAGACTGTCCACCGCTGTGCAACTGGTGGATTCGACCTAAGTTCCTTCGTAATTGCAACACAGCTTCTTACTGAACAACTGTATATGTCATATTTATTCCAGGTTTACTTCTCAGGTTCATTCTTAAGACTTTTTTTTTACAAAAGGTTGTGAATAATTTATAAATAGATTTAACATTTATAATAAAATATATCTATTTCTCTATCTTATTTGTGTGTGTACACCATCAAATCCGATTTGGTACTGGAGGAGATTGTCCCTCCTTCCCCGGCAGAGCATCTGGTGGATATGAACCGTGAGCCTCTGGGATTGCAATGCAGCTTCTTGCCACTAGGCTACCAGAGCTCTTCTATCTTATTTTTTATAACAAATACAACCAGAGGTCTGTCAGTTCTTTCTGGTGTAGTGATTCTGTGTATTCCCTCCATCTTCTTTTGATGCTTTCTGTGTCATTCAACATATTGACCATACATCTTTCAATATTGTGACACAAGGCTTACATTTGTTTTTCAGTTCTCTCACCTTTAGAAATGCACAGCAGGTTCTTTCCTTTTTATTCACCAATTCTAGTTCTCACATACCATTATAATACTTTGCTTTGTCCTCGAGTTTGGAATTCTCTGTTCAGCTCTTTCACTTCAGCATGTTTTCCTGTTGTTTTGGCTTCTCAAAGCTCCAGTGGAATTTTGAGTCTCTTCTGACATTCATTTTTTTTTTCTTTCTTCTTTGTTTTTGTAAGGACCTTTTGCTTTCTTCATGGATGACATCATCCCACAACTCACCTGGTCTTTGATCACTGGTGTTCAGGGCCTCAAACCTATTCCTAAGATGATCTTGAAATTCATATGGAATTGACTCAAAATCATACCTTGGTTCCTAAGGATATATTTTCATTTTCTTTGGTCTCAATTTGAACTTGTGTATGAGTAACTGATGATCTGAACCCAGAGTCCACTTCTGGTCTAGTTCTGATGGCTGATAATGAGGTTCTCCAATGGTTTCTTCCACAAATATAGTCAATCTGATGCCTATGCCACCCATCAGGTGAGACTCACATGTAAAGTGTTGTTTCTTTTTAAAAAGGTATTTGCAATGAATAAATCATTGTAAATATAAAATTCAGTCATTTAATTTCCATCTTCATCTTGCTTGAAAATACACTGAAGTGGGAAAATCTGCAGTTAGGGACCTCTCCAAATTATTGAGGAGTAATGATGTCAGTTTGAGGACTAAGGTGCATCTGACCCAGGCAATAGTCTTTCAGATCATTTGTTATGCATCTGAAAGCTGGACAATGAGTAAGGATGACAGAAGAAGAATTGACACCTTTGAGCTGTGGTGTTGCAGAAGAGCACTGCAAACCCCTTGGACTGCTAAGAGAACAAACAGATACAGATATGTCTTGAAAGGGGTGCAAGCGGAGTGCTCTTTGGAGGCAAGAATGATGAGACTTCGCTTCACATACTTTGTGCACATTGCTAGGAGGAGCTATTCCTTAGAGAATGACATGATGCTGGGAAGGGTGGAGAGTTGATGCAGGAAGACCCTCAACCAGATGGACTGACGGTGACTGCCTCAAGGGGCTCTGGTGTGTCAGGAAGTGTGATGATGACATAGGACAGACAGGGTTCAGACCTTTTGTTCATAAAGCCACACAAGTCATACTCGACAGCACCTAACAACAACACAACACAGAGGTGCTACTCAGAGGCAAGGATGGTGAAACTGTGTTTCATGTACTGTGATGGTGTTATCAAGAAGAGGCAGTTTCTGCAAAAAGGACATCATGCTTGGACAAGCAGAGATACAGTGAAAGTGAGGAAGATCCTCAGTGGGATGGACTGACAGACACCATGACTGCAATGACAGACTGCAGCACGGCAGAGACTGTATGGACAGTGCAGAACTGGGCAGAGACTTGTTCTTGTCTGCAGGCCCCCTGCTTTTCCTTCCCATTCATCCTCCTCTCCTATTCCTACTCATTTTCCAAGTTTTTCCCCTGGGAAAATGCTGCCCTTTTGATACTGTACGGCTGATTGCCCTAAGCAGTTTAGTTCTCCCCGCTGTTACGGATCATGACAGGCTTGCCCACACATTATTTGTCTGACAGTGAAGTCATGGGGATGATTTCAGTCACAGGTATGAAGAGTAACTAAAGTCTTGGAACCTCCACTGATCTCTACTATACCATTAAGATTTTGAGTTTTGTTCCACACTTTTCTCCCATCCGACCAGAGATTTTCTACTGTGATTTGCTTCACAGTGGTCCCGGGTGAGAGCTGGTATCATCTAGTTCTGGTCTCAGGGGCACAGCCTGGATTTTCTAAACATGAGTTCTTTTCATTTTCATAGAAGAGTGATTTAAGTATATAGGCTCTGGAAGCAAATGATCTGGGATGTGACCACTGTCCACATCTGTCTTCATCTTCTATTCTAACATGCTGCATCTACTCTGATCAGGCGTGGAGGTTAAGTGTCCAAGCTTACTGAAACTAAGTCCACTTCTTTTTGGTTGTGAGATGAATATCACTCACATACTAGTAACACTGTACACACTGTTTATTAGGTTTCTTTTTTTTTAAATATTTTAGAATTTTTATCTATAAGGAAGGCAAGAAGGATTTAATCATATACTAAAAATATCAGCATACGACTGTAACAATTGGAAGCAGGAGTGGCATCCACTTCCTAAACAACATGCCTCTGGAAACCCTATGAACTTAGATAAATGTTTATAGTTACAGAGGGGCTTCAGGCCTTTTGTTCATAGCGTTGCTATGGTCGTGCTCGACTCAAATGCAATCAACAACAACAACTATAATAAATCTCAGTAATTTGAAGATAACGGCACAGTATAGTGCTTAATGAAAAAAGTCTTAAGGATACATTATAAGATTACATTTCTGTAACATTCTTAAAATGACACACAGGAGAGAGGAGCATAGCAATAGTGATAGTCTCACTGTGCTATGTTAATGCGGAAAGAAGTTGAGACTGAAAAATCTAACCATGTTTAAATACAACAAATTTAAAAATAATAATTTAATATCTTGGGTGCAAGAAAAGAAGGGAGGTAGTTAAATGAACTACATCTTTTAGTATTATGTCATTGTTATTATGTGCCATCAAGTCAGCACCAACCCACACCGGATCCTATAGTGGGTTTACAGAGAATGTGTATCCCACAGAAGGAGCCTACCCAACTTTCTCCCCTGAAGCAACTAGTAGATTTGAACTGCCTGCCTTTGGGTTGGCAAGAAAACTCCTTAGCCACTGGGCCACCAGAGCTCCCTTATTTAGGGTGTAGTCAACTCTCTGGACTCCTCTTCTGTGTGATTAGCAGCATTTTATAGGCGGGGAAGAATTCTTCTCCGAACACCATTACTGATTCTTATGTAATAGAGAATTGCTGCCTTGAGGTAGAACTTGAAGTTAACAAATAATTTTAAGTTACACTAAAAAGTGCATCCTCTGCAACCCCATCTCTTCAAAGAATCAGAGCTGAGCTAAACTTTACCTGTATGAGATGATTTCCTTTAGATGGTTCGTTAAGAGCTTTCCTCCCACATTTATCCTAAAAGAAGAAAATTCAAGTCTGGTTCAATTATCCCATATTTCACTCATTTTCATCTTCAAAATACCATAAAAAATTAAGTGCAACTCACCGAATAATTGCTTCCTTTTTCTTTTTACTTCGACAGTAAGGAACAATATGTGTGAAAGAATATCCACTATCAACAATGATACAGCATAACTCAGAAGGATTATCTCGGAAATATCTATGTGCACTGAGAGCTCCAGCTACAGAAAAAGAGGGACACGTTAAAGAAATGCCTAATGTTAATTTAAAGCAAGAAAGACATATAACAAACTAGGTAAGCACAAACAAAAATTTCCCATTAAAAAAAAAGTAGCAGCCGTAACACTGTCACAAAATCTTTGCAATGTTTAAACCTTAAATATCAGTCTTAGGTGGTAAATATGATTTTAAAAAAAGAGATCAATTTTTCAAGGTTAAATTTTCCTTTCATAGCTAATAACAGTAACTATTTTCCACGAAACATTTATTGTGTGCCAGTCTATTATAATATTTGCATGTTGGCTGTGTATGTTTTAATCCTCACAATCGTATTTTATAGATAAGGAAATGAACGTACAAAGAAATGAAATAGTATGTCTAAGGACAAATAAATAACAAGGATCAGAGCCAGGATTCTAACCTCAAGCCCTGAGGCTCCCAAAAAAGGGTTTCTCAACCTCAAAACTGTTGACATTTTGGGCCAATAATTCTTTGTTGTGCACTGGAAGATATTTAGTAACATCCCTGGCCTCTACCCCTAGATGCCAGTAACATCCTCCCATTAGGACTCAACTATCCACACCAACACCAGATGTCCTTTGGGTAGCAAAATTATGCACATTTGGGAATCACTGTTTTACAGAATGAGCTGTTAACCACTTTATTAGTTTCTATTGTTGTTATGGACCATTGAGTCAGAACTAATGCATAGCTGACCCTTCAGTGGGTTCTCAGAGGCAGTTAATCACAGAAGGAGACTGCCCATCTTTCTCCCAAGAGAAGAAATGCTTACACAGACTTTTTTTTACAAGCTAAATATTTGAATACACATTACTGTTCATGGAAGAAGTAAAATTTCATCAAACACAACCATGAAATATACTCCTACTTTTTAATAAACTTTTAGATAGTGTTGCAACAATAAATCTTTCATAGATTAGGAATAATTTCTGAAACTAGTAACTTAATGACAATTACCATATTGATATTTATTTTCACTGAAGGGGTATGATAACATCATTTTTAGTTTAAAATTCTACAGTTTATTTCTTTCCAACCTAAACAAATGTCACCTAGTTTTCGAGGATTTTAAGTGTCTTTTTCTTTCATATCCGTATTCAAGTAAAACAATTTCAATCAAAACTAACTCACCATTTACTCTTAATACTGCTTGAAACTGATATTCTTCAAACAAAATTTCATTCATTGATTCCTGAATTGAAGTGAAGTTAAAATATGGCTCCGTAATGATAATATTACTATCTAAAAAGTCAACCTACAGGAGAAGAAAAAAGTCCAAAGTTTCTAATTTTGAATTGATAATTATAAAAACTTGTTTCTATATGCAAATCAAACTTATTTAACCTTCGCAATAATCTTACAAAACAGGTTTTAATTATTATCTTCATTTTGCTCAGGTGAGCAAACTGAAATACAGCCACATAAACTAACGAGGTTCATAAAAGTTGTAACATAGCTAGGATTTAAAGACATGGAGTCTAGATACAGAGTCCATGCACCTGACTATTGTGTAACTTTATCTGTTATAAAAAATGGCAGCCTTAAGAAAATGGTACTGTTAGATTGTTTAAAGATAACTGTGCAAATGCAATGAATAACTACATATAGCAAGGTAGCTGTTTTTACAAAGAAAAATCTGAGAAGCCTTAACAAGCCTATATATTTTGAGAAGCTTTAAAACTGGAACATACTCTCAGCATAGTCATAATCACACTAGACACACAAATGCACAGAATTCTCATGTTATAAAATTCAAATGTTGAGCTATGTGGTAAAAATGTTTTACTGTAAAAATGTAAAAAAAATTATTGTGAAAATAAAAATGAGATAACTGATCTAATGATACTATTTAATATTTGAAGCACAATTTTTTCTTTTTCTGAAGCACAATTTTCATTTTGAGCTTTTTAAAAGCTTTCTCTACTTAATCTGCGTTTCACTTTAGAATGAGAATTCTTTTCACTTACATTTATTCACTATTTAGAAAACCAAAGCTAGTCACAATAAATGGTAATGATGTAGATATATTTTACAAATATGTCTATAAACCTTAAAGCTCAAGTTTCTCACTGAATAAAGTACAGAAAGAGAATATCAATACATACTCCAATTTGTTACCTGATACATTTCTTTTCCAAAAAGATAATCCCACACTTGTCTTTGAACATCCCAGTTCACCAAGTAGCCCTAAAAATTATAAATTACCAAGAAAACATTTTAAAAATCAGATTCATAGATTATAAGTCACTGATTACTATTATCTTCTCCACTCTAAAGTGTTATGAATTCTCAACAATTATTTTGGAGTAGCTTTGAAATGCTAAAACATATTATAGACTATCATAACCAAACTTTCAATTGTTCAAAAGAAAGATCAATAGAGAGAGATGACTCTTTACACTTATTTTTTCATATGTTCATTTTATTTTGGCTTTTAAAATAAATAAGATTCAGTACCTCCAAACACTAACTAAATCATGGTCATTGGTTTCACTGAGGCAAACTAATTTAAATTTTTATTTTAGAACTTAATTAAAAATTTAATCACCTCTAGGCTAGAGATCTAAAAATACTCCCAAACCTACTTACCAAGTCCCATATATCTACAATGCTAGAAAAATGACACATAATTAACTGGATTACCTTCTGAAAAGGAAGGATGTAAAAGAGTCCAGAAGGATCTTTTATTTCGTCTATCTGGTTAGCAGTAAAGGTTTTGAGGCGTGCTGTTTTTGACCTAAACTGACAATTAGGAATAACCCTATAAAAAACAAATAAAATTATTCTTAAAGTACTTTCTAAAAACACACTTAAACACATTATTGACATTAAAATTAATATATGGGAGGGGAGCTCTGGTGGCCTCGTGGCAAGAAGCTGCACTGCAATCCCAGAGGAACACGGTTCGAATCCACCAGATGCTCTGCTGGAGAAGAAGGCGCAATATCCTCCTGTACCAGTCAGATCTGATTTGACGGTGCACGCACACAAAAATAATAATAATTAAAAAAAATAATTAAAAAAATTAATATATGGGAAACCAGTGCTTCTCATTCCATTTTCAAACAAATAAGGAAAAAAAGTTCCACCACCATAGGTCTGAGAGCCAGCATTCTGACAACGGTCTAGTCTTACTGGCTTTCATGTGGAAATGCTATCATTCAAATAAAAGAAATAAGAACGTGAAATTTCTGGTCATAAAATTAATTTCCATGAAACCAATAATTTACAATCAACAAGATGCTGCAAGACACAGAACAGTTTGAAATATGATTCCGGCCTACCATGAGTTTATACCCTGGTTAAGAA